CTCGACTACTGGGCTCCGGCGATCGTTCCGCCTCAGCCTTCCGAGTAGCCGGAATTACAGGCATGCGCTACCACGCCCGGCTGATTTTTTTTGATTTATTGTAGAGATGAGGTCTCGCTGCCTAGGTGGGTCTCGAACCCACGGGCTCAGGCAATCCACTCACCTCAGCCTCCCAAAGGCGCGGGATTACAGGCTGAGCCACCGAGCCCAGCTTGTCTTTTCTTATTATTATACTAAAACCCCAGTTACTGTGACCTCTCACCTGGTTTCTTTAGCTCTTGTGAAGGTGTTTCCTTGCATGGATAGTTGTTCAATTGAATGTCTCAGTGGGGTATGATCACTAGCATGTTCTATTCTGTGATGTTGATCTGCCTCTTCCTCCACATCTCATGTCTCAAGCTTTCACTTTCAAGACACTCTGCACACACAAATGAGATATGGAAAGGGAAAAAGGGCACAGAAAATGGGAATAAGGGCACAGAATATAGGAACCTAGGGAATACTCATGGTTAAGATTTGTTCCTCTATCTCTTTGCATCCTTTTACAAAAAAGCAAAAATATTTGGAAGGAGTATGGAGTTAATCATTTATTCAAATAAATTGAATGCATTTATTCTTATTGCTTTATCTAAATTCCTTGCTAATACCAGTTTCATTAAGCTATGGAAGTTTGCTTGGAAAAGAGGGGATATCATTTTAGGATCTGGAATACACTGAGGGCAATATGGGCTTAGGAATCTTCCACTTGTTTGCCAATTTTTCTAAGCCTTAGTTTTTTTTCATATGAAAACTGATGATCATGAGAACTATATCATACAGTTGTTTGAGGATGGGAGTAACCAGACTTACTGGTATATAGCAAGTATTTATCATTGTGTTGGTATACTTACTATTTGAGGAATAGGGAAGACCTAGGAGGGCATTAAGTAGTAGTGTAGGAATCCCCAAGAGCAGTAAGAACATGAATTTTGGGGAAAAATGTGTAGAAGAGAGAAAGACCCTGAAAGGAAAATGAAGTAGTACAAAAGACAAACTTCTTTTTTAAAAATGCTGTCAGGTGCTAACCTCAACTTCAGAATAATACTAGAAACACTGCTTTCTTTCTGACAATTCTCTTCTATCACTTTATTTCTCCGTTCTTTAAACCCAGAACTTAGGCCAGTTATGTCATGGTTTCAAATAGCTTTGACAAAACAACTTAGGAACCACGCTAACATAGCATTAGAATTCAAAATGCAGAATCTCAAACAAACTAATTAAAAAATTTCAGATAATTGATTACAAATAAATTTTGGGAATATATATTTTAAAGCTTAGAACTGCCATTATGATCAGCAAAAAGGGGAATGATCAGGGATTAAATATTATTGAGATGACTTATTTTATCCTTTTTATTTATTATTATTTTTTTTAGTTGGAGTCTCACTCCATCATCCAGGCTGGCTCAGGCGATCCTTCCACCTCAGTCTGCCAAGTAGCCGGAACTACAGGCATGTGCTCACATACCCAGCTGATTTTTAAAATTTATTGTAGAGATGAGGTCTTGCCAAGTTGCCCAGGCTGTTATCAAACCCATGGGCTCAGGCAATCACCTCACCATTTTATCCTTTTTAATATATTTATCTTAGAACCAGAAAAACATTGCTAAAGTGCTCTTTTAAAACAATAGCCACATATAAATTGGCCCATGCACTTATATAAAATATAGCCATGATACATAGTTCCCAGAACCAAAGTATTATACAATTTTTAAATTTAATTTGTCTTTGCTTTTCAATTTTGATGGTAATGTCAGTAAGATTTATGGCTTATGGCAAAATATTGATTAATATGTCATAGGAAATATTTTATTGAATTATATAATGTTCAAAGATAAAGTTTGGGCAAAAATTACCAATTGAAGTCATAAATAACCATGTATGATTAACATCTTCCCATTCCCCTCCCTAGTCCTCATTCCCTGGTAACCACCATTCTACTCTCTACTTCTGTAAGTTCAAATATTTCAGATTCCACATATAAGTGAGATTATACAGTATTTCTTATTCTGTACCTTGCTTATTTTTCCAAGCATATTTCTTAGCTTCATCCATGTTGTGGTAAATGACAATGTTTCCTTGTTTTTAAAGACTGAATTGTATTCTATTGTGTAAATATACCACATTTCCTTATCCATTTATTCATTCTTGGACACTTAGACTGATTAGAGGATTTTAGCTTCTTTAAACTTTAGTTCAATTTATATAAAATGATAATACAACCTCTCTGGTTTGTAATGAGGATTAATTGAATATATCTGGCACATATTAGGTGCTCAAAAAAAAATCTCAGTTTTCTCCTTGCCTTACAGATTTTTACTATAGATGAAGACTGATTCATCCTATGGAAATACTATCTGAAGTTATCTTTATTATTGGCATATGGATATACTTATATAAAATTGTGATAAATATACAGTTTATTTGAGATCTTTGAGGAACTAAGCATATTATTTTGTTTTAATAAGAACATGCATTGCAGTGAATAAAGTCACATGACCCACTCAGGAATGATTTTGACCTCTAAGCACTTCTTATAAACTTTTATTATTGTCTATTAAATTTGCCATTTTGAAATTAATTTATATAATATAGATTTGTGTTTTTAGAAGTATACTGTCAGTGACATTGTATCGTTTTTTCTTTAGGCAGTTCACTGGTGTTAAGACTTTCAGCAATTGCAGCTTGAGTGACTTTAAAAATTTCATTTCAAATATGGGTGCCAGATGTCTTCAGAATAAACCACAAATGCAAATAAATCCAAGACCAGTATGTGGCAATGGTATAGTGGAGGGAAATGAAGTCTGTGATTGTGGTAATGAAACTGTAAGTCTAATAACTAGGAAAATGAATTAATTCATTTATTGTTTTAGTTCATCTTTTTTAATGAATGCTATATATCTCAAATGTGACTGAGGACCATTCAGAATATTGACAGTATGTGAAATCAGGTTGAAATACATGCAAGACAATACTGTCTAGGTTTTATAGGTTTAAGAGTTTTGAACAAGTTTAAAATATACTGTCAAAAATTATTGGTTATGAGAAAAAGGGGGATTTAGTATAAATTTTTGAGTTTCAGACTGAATAAGTTCTTTCCAAATCTCTGCTTAATCTTTGGACATTCTATTAATGTCCTTTGTGTGTGTGTGTGTGTGTGTGTGTAAGAGTCTCACTCTGTCGCCCAGGCTGGAGTGCAGTGGCATGCTCACAGCCACCTTAACCTCAGCCCACTGGACTCAGGGATCCTTCTGCCTCAGCCTTCCAAGTAACCGTAAATACATGCGCACAGTACCATGACCAGCTAATTTTTTGATTTATTGTAGAGATGAGGTCTCGCCAAGTTGCCCAGACTGGTCTTGAACCCCTGGACTCAGGCAATCCACTTGCCTCAGCCTCCCAAAGTGCTGGGATTACAGATGTGGACCACAGTGCCTGGCTTAAAAATGTCTTATTGAAGATTTATTTATCAGCAGTTCATCATGTGTCCTTTAGGGTATAACTTCACAATGGAATCAACAGTACAGTGAGAGAATGTGTCTCAATATTGCAGTCTGAACATTAAGTGATTTTGGTCATTCACTTGATAGGGAAACCATGAAAATATAATGAATGTGAAAGGCCCAGGGTATAATGCTTCTATATAATTCAGTATTTGCAGCAATACTGTAGGTATTATAAATTTCCTTGATTATAAGATAGACAGAAGTGATATTAAAATTTGTACATACATAGGTCTGAATTACTTGCATTCATATCACATTGTTTTAATTACTGTGTTCCTATATTCTGTTAACAATTTGGTAGAACAAATTCTCCTCTCTCTTTACTCTTCATTTTTTAAAACTCAGTTTTATTGGAGTATAATCCACATGCAATGAAATGCACTCATTTTAAGTTTACAGGTTGATAGGTTTTGACAGATGTTTAAAACCATTGGTACAGTTAAGATATAGAATCTTTTCATCATTCCCAAAAGTTTACCTTTACTCTTCTGCAGTCCTTTCCACCTCCACTTGTCTACTTATCTTCAGGCAACTTCTGATTCTGTCAGTTTTGGCTGATCTAGAAAATCATAAATGAAATGATACAGCACATATTCTTTTGTGTCTGGTTTTTCTCTTTAAATATTTTAAAAAATTTTATCCACATTGTTTTATGTCACAATTGTTTCTCCCTTTTTATTTCATTGTAATGTTTTATTGCATGGATGTTATTTTTCACAATCTGTTTTTCCTTTCACCTTCTAATGGACATTTGAGTTGTTAACAGTAACTTGTGAAAGTATAATTGCTTAATTGCTGGGCCATATGATAAGTGTATGTTTATAAGAAGCTGTCAGAGCGGGGCCTGGTGGCTCAGCCTGTAATCCCATGCCTTGGGAGGCTGAGGTGAGTGGATTGCCTGAGCCCGTGGGTTCAAGACCTGCCTGGGCAGCCGAGACCTCATCTCTACAATAAATTAAAAAAAAAAAAAATCAACTGGGCGTGATAGCGCACGCTTGTAATTCCGGCTACTTGGAAGGCTGAGGCAGAAGGATCACCGGAGCCCAGCAGGTCAAGGCTGCGGTGGCCAGGAGCGGCCACTGCACTCCAGTCTGGGTGACAGAGTGAGACTCCAACTCAAAAAAAAAAAAAAAAAAATAGAAGCTGACAGAATACTTTTCATAATAGTTTTATCCTTTTACAATCCTATAAGTAATCCTATAAAACTTTCAGTTCCTGTATATCTGTACCAAAATTTGAAGTTATCAACTTGTTAAATTTTAGTCATTCAAATGGTTTTGTAGTGATTTTAGTTTGCATTTTCTTTATGACACTAATGGTATTAAGCATATTCTCATGGGCCACTTAAAAATTTATTTTCTTTTTTTTTTTTTTTTCATTAATCAGTATTTTTTATTATGGTTTTGTGGGGTACAGTTAAGGGTTAGGTGTACAACGACGTTTCATTCAGGCACCCTGTAGATAAGAAGTGTTTTCCCATCCCCCGACAGATATTTGCTACTGTAATCCCATCCCCCTCCCCCCCATAGTTTCCCAGTACCATCCGTCATTTTCTCATAGTATTGCATTGGATGTTCAAGGTCCATTATATGAGTGAGAACATGTGATATTCGGATTTTTGTTTTTGTGAGAGGTCACTCAGTATTATAGACTCTAGTTCCATCCAGGTTGCAGCGAAATTCATGATTTTGTTCTTTTTTATGGCTGCAGAGTATTCCATCGTGTATATGTACCACATTTTTTTAATCCAGTCCTCTTTTGATGGGCAGCATGGTTGTTTCCAGGTTCTTGCTATTGTGAACAATGCTGCGATAAATATACGTGTGCAGGTATCTTTTTTATAGAGTGATTTGTGTTCTTCAGGGTATATTCCCAGTAGGGGGATTGCAGGGTCATATGGAAGGTCAATTTTTAGAGCTTTTAGGAATCGCCACACTGCTTTCCACAGAGGTTGCACTAGTTTACACTCCCACCAACAGTGTAGAAGTGTTCCCTTTTCACCACACCCTCTCCAGCAGCTGTTATTTTTTGAGTTGTTGATAATTGCCATTCTGACTGGAGTTAGGTGGTATCTCAGTGTGGTTTTGATTTGCATCTCCCTGATGATTAGTGAGGTTGAGCATTTCTTCATGTGTTTGTTGGCTGCTCGAATGTCTTCTTTTGTGAAGTGTCTGTTCATGTCTTTTGCCCATTTTATAATGGGGTTGTTTGTTTTCTTCTTTTCAGTACGCTTCAGTAGATCCAGGATGTTAAGCCTTTGTCAGACCTAGAGTTGGCAAATACTTTTTCCCAGTCTGTAGGCTGTCTCCCTGCTCTCTTGATGGTTTCTTTGGCTTTGCAGAAGCTTGTCAGTTTAATAAGGTCCCATTTGTTTATCTTCTCTCTTAAGTCCTGTGGGTTTCGGGTTTTGTACAGGAATTGGATGCCAGTTCCGATTTCCATGAGAGTATTTCCTTCCTTTTCTAAGGTTCTTATGGTTTGAGGTTTTACATTTAGGTCTCTGATCCATTTGGAATTAACCTTTGTGCATGGGGATAGATAGGGGTCCTGTTTTAATCTTCTGCATGTGGTCAGCCAATTTTCCCAGCACCATTTACTGAATAGGTTCTCCTCTCCCCATTGGTAGGTGGTGGGGGCTTTGTCGAAGATGAGTTGGTTGAGAAATTGAGGTTTTGCTTCTGGAATCTCAATTCTGTTCCATTGATCTATATGCCTGTTCCTGTACCAATACCAAGCTGTTTTGATGATTGTAGCTTTATAGTAAAGTTTGAAATCTGATATTGTGATACCACCTGCTTTGTTTTTTTTGCTGAGGATTGTTCTGGCTATTCTTGGATGTTTGTGTTTCCATATGAATTCCTGTGTTGTTTTTTCTAGGTCTGAGAAGAATGTTGTTGGTAATTTAATGGGTATTGCATTGAATTTGTAGATTGCCTTAGGTAAGATGGACATCTTCACAATGTTGATTCTTCCGATCCATGAGCATGGGATATTTTTCCACTTGTTCATGTCAGCTTTGATTTCTTTGAGCAGTGTTTTGTAATTTTCATTGTAAAGGTCTTTCACGTCTCTGGTTAGGAAGATGCCAAGGTATTTCATTTTTTTTGTGGCTATTGTGAATGGAACTGTGTTTTTTATTTGGGTTTCTGTTTGTTTATTATTGGTGTAGAGAAATGTGATTGTCTTTTGTACATTTATTTTGTATCCTGAGATTTTGCCAAAGGCTTTTATCAATGTAAGGAGGCCTTTGACAGATTCTCTTGGGTTTTCAAGGGACACCATCATGTCATCTGCATAGAGAGATAACTTGACTTCCTCTTTTCCTCTTTGAATACCTCTGATTGCCTCCTCTTCTCTGATTGCTTTAG